TTTTTTGCCCAAAACGGGCGGATTTTCCCCCAAAGGCACCTGGAACTGGTCGAGGTCCCGCAGCTGCTCCCGGCGCTGCCGCAGCAGCTCCTCCAGCCCCAGCGCGGGGTCCCGGCACTCCCGGAGCCCCTCGGGGCTGCCCGCGGCCAGGCTGGGGCGAAAAACGGCGATTTTGGGAAAATCCGACACAGAAACGGCAAAAATCCCCCAAAACAGCCCAAAAAACACCCAAAAACCACCCAAAAATCCCCCAAAATAGCCCCAAAAATCCCCCAAACCCCCCCAAAGCAGGCCCGGCACTCCCGGAGCCCCTCGGGGCTGCCCGCGGCCAGGCTGGGGCGAAAAACGGCGATTTTGGGAAAATCCGACACGGAAACGGCAAAAATCCCCCAAAACAGCCCAAAAAACACCCAAAAACAGCCCAAAAATCCCCAAAAACAGCCCCAGAAATCCCCCCAAAGCAGGCCCGGCACTCCCGGAGCCCCTCGGGGCTGCCCGCGGCCAGGCTGGGGCGAAAAACGGCGATTTTGGGAAAATTTGTAACGGAAATGGCAAAAATCCCCCAAAACAGCCCAAAAAACACCCAAAATCCCCCAAAACAGCCCCAAAAATCCCCCAAAAATCCCCCCAAAGCAGACCCGGCACTCCTGGAGCCCCTCGGGGCTGCCCGCGGCCAGGCTGGGGCGAAAAACGGCGATTTTGGGAAAATTTGTAACAGAAATGGCAAAAATCCCCCAAAACAGCCCAAAAACCACCCAAAAACTGCTCAAAAATCCCCCCAAACAGCCCAAAATCACCCAAAAAACAACAAAAATGACATGTCGAGGATTTTGGAGGATTTTGGGCATTTTGCCCCCCAAATTTTGATGTTTTTTCCCCAGAATCTTTGATTTTTTGCCCGGGATTTTGTGGATTTTGGGTTTTTTTGGGGCATTTTGGGTTTTTTTGGGGGATTTTGGGGATTTGAGGAGGGGTTTCCATCCCCTCAGTGCCCCCAGCCCCTCCCCTTGCCGCCCAAATTTTGATGTTTTTTCCCCAGAATTTTGGGTTTTTTTCCGGGATTTTGGGTTTTTTTCCCGGGATTTTGGATTTTTTGGGTTATTTTGGGTTATTTTGGGTAATTTTGGGTATTTTGGGAGGGTCTGACCTGCAGAGCAGCCCCAGGCCGTGCTCGTGGCCCCCAAACCCCTCCCCTTCCCTGGGTGTTTCCCCCCATTTTTGGGGTTTTTTCCCGGGATTTTTGATGTTTTTTTCCCGGGATTTCGGGGATTTCAGGTTATTTTGGGTGATTTTGGGTGATTTTGGGGTATTTTGGTGATTTTGGGGGGGTCTGACCTGCAGAGCAGCCCCAGGCCGTGCTCGTGGCCCCCAAGCCCCTCCCCTTCCCTGGGTGTTTCCCCCCATTTTTGGGGTTTTTTCCTGGGATTTTTGTGGTTTTTTTCCCGGGATTTTGGGTTTTTTGGGTTATTTTGGGTGATTTTGGGTATTTTGGTGATTTTGGGGGGGTCTGACCTGCAGAGCAGCCCCAGGCCGTGCTCGTGGGCGCCGTCGTGCTCCGAGCGCAGCAGCGCCGCCGCCCGCGCCACCAGGCCCTGCTGCAGCAGCGGCCCTGCGGTTTGGGGCGAAAAACGGCGGTTTTGGGTCACTGGGGGTTTGGGGTGAGAAACAGGGATTGGGGGAAAAAACGGCGATTTTGGGTCATTGGGGGTTTGGGGTGAGAAACGGGGATTGGGGGAAAAAACGGGGATTTTGGGTCATTGGGGGGTAGGGGTGAGAAATGGGGATTTGGGGGAAAAAATGGTGATTTTGGGTCATTGGGGGTTTGGGGCGAAAAACGGGGATTTTGGGTCATTGGGGGTTTGGGGTGAGAAATGGGGATTGGGGGGAAAAATGGGGATTTTGGGTCACTGGGGGGTAGGGGTGAGAAACGGGGATTGGGGGAAAAAAAGGCGATTTTGGGTCATTGCAGGTTTGGGGTGAGAAAAAGGGATTTTGGGTCATTGGGGGTTTGGGGTGAGAGAAGGGGATTTGGGGTAAAATATGGGGATTTTGGGTCATTGTGGGTTCGGGGTGAAAAATGGGGATTTTGGGTCATTGTAGGTTTGGGGCGAAAAACGGGGATTTTGGGTCACTGCGGGTTTGGGGTGAAATTTGAGGATTTTGGGGTCAATTCTGGGGGGTTTGGGGTGAAACCTGGGGAATTTGGGGTGAAATCTGGGGATTTTGGGGTCAGGAAAGAGAATTTTGGGTCAGGAAAGGGAATTTCGGGTCAGGAAAGGGAATTTTGGGGTCAGGAAAGGGAATTTCGGGGGTTTCTGTGGGAATTTCGGGTCAGGAAAGGGAATTTTGGGGTCAGGAAAGGGAATTTCGGGGGTTTCTGCGGGAATTTCGGGGCGGTTTGGGGCCGTTTCGGGGCCTGGCGGTTGGGGGGGCCCCGGGGCGGTTTTGGGGTGAATTTGGGGGATTTTGGGGCTGACCTGAGAGGGGCGGGTGCTCGCGGAGCAGGCAGTGCAGCAGGAAGGCGGCGCGGGCGCGCAGGGGGGGCTGGGGGCTCTGCAGGGCCGCCCCCAGCGCCTCCAGCCCCCCCAAATCCTGCAGCTGCTGCAGCCCCTGCGGCTGCGCCCGCACCAGGCCT